CCCCAAAACCCCAAAACCCCAAAACCCCGGGATTTGGCGAATTAATTGAAATATTTTCGCAGATAAAGGGCTTTTCAAGCAGAAATCAGTGATGGATAGTAAATATCAAGCAAGTAATGTTGATAATATGGACTCTGAGCAAGCCAATAGGTTTAGAAGCAGAGGATTTAATAACCGCCAGAAGAGTCTTGATGATATGTTTGGATTCAAGAAAACAAGGAAACCATCTCCCCCAAAAACAGCTGAGGCTTCGAGGAAAAAGAAAATACAATTCTCACAGCCAAAAGCAACTTATAGATGGAACAAGAATGCAGTGAAGAAGAAATCAGCTGAGGCTAGTTCCCAGAAGAAGGAAGAAGAGGTTCAAGAATGAGTCTATGGGTCTAAATCTCAGAAGACTTTGACCATGTACCCTACAGGAGAGATAGCTGATAGTGAAAATATTGAGAAAAGAATTGTTTTTGAGCTTGTTAGTGACCACGATTGAGCAGTAAAATTCTACAACTATTTCACTGAACAAGCTAAAGAAATTATTAAATAAAGTCAAAAGATCCCGATTTGACAATGATGAACACTGTTGGGTATTCCCAAAAGAACAGTACATGTACCTCAAAGATGAGCTAAGGTCGATTGTTGGTTCAGATGTAAAGATTTCTCTGATACCTGAGTTCATATCCCGTCTGATCAAATTCCCTACCCCTTACCCAAACATTACGAGAGAAAGCTACAACTATAGCATTGATAAAGTAGTAAGTTCTTCTGATCTCATTTTTAGAACAAATATTCACTAGATAATTTGCCTGAAAGCTTACTGAAAAAGCTCCTAAACTTTCAAAAACATGGAGTAGAATACTGTATCAGAAAGTGTGGAAGAGCCATCATTGGTGATGAAATGGTAAGTTTACTCTGATTAACCAACTATAGGGCGTCGGGAAGACAATCCAAGCAATAGCCACAGCATATGTATACAAAGAGGACTGGCCTGTCCTGGTTATCTGCCCTTCATCATTAAAGCATATATGGAAATATGAGATCCTCAAGTGGCTTTCTAGTGAGATAAAAGAAGAGGAAATTCAAGTTTTTGAGACTGGAAAAGACGACTTCGATAAATCTCGGAAAATCTTTATATTTTCATATGAGCTAGCAACAAGGATGAGCGAGAAGATTGATAAAATGGAGTTCAAGGTTGTCATAATCGATGAAGCTCATTATCTAAAAAGCCGAGATGCCAAAAGATGCAGAATGTTGCTTCCTATTATTACTGAGGCGAAAAGAATTCTATTTCTAACTGGAACACCAATTTTATCACGCCCGATTGAACTTTTCAACCTTGTAAAAGCTCTCAGACCTGACATGATCAGACAGTTTCTTGATTATGCCTATAGATATTGTAATCCAAGAGAAAGTAAGTTTGTAGTGAATAACCCTTCTAGATAAATTTGGAACAGATTTCACTGGAGCTTCCTGCATGAAAGAGCTCCACTACATTCTGGAGAAAAGCTTTATGATTCGAAGGCTTAAATAAAGAAGTGCTATCAGAGCTCCCAGACAAGAGAAGACAATTAGTAGATATTACAGTTGATAAGAAGATGCAGGACAAGATCAAAAATGTCTTAACTGAGCAGTTAAGAGATTTGCAGATGAGGTCGGAAGATCCTCAAAAATTCCTCGAAGAGAAGTTCGACCAATACAATGAAGTAAGTCTAACATTGTTATTGTTTAGGGAGATAAAGAAGCTGATTTTGAAGATACTGTTAATGACCTTGGGCATTATTTTACCCAAGCTTATCAACTAACCGGGGAAGCAAAGACAAAAGGAATCCTAGATTTTGTCACTACTATGATTGAAAGCGACACTAAATTTCTGATCTTTGCTCATCATATTTCAGTCATGGATGCCATCGAAACTTTCTTGTACAAAAGAAAGGTAAAATCTATCAGAATTGATGGAAAGACAAAGCAGAATTTACGACATAAACTTGTTGAAAAGTTTCAAAATGACGAGAAAATTAAAGTAGCTATCCTTTCTATAACTGCTTGTTCTCATGGTCTCACTCTCACTGCCTCCTGCACTGTAGTATTTGCTGAGTTATTCTGGACACCAGGAGTAATGATCCAAGCTGAAGACAGAGTACACAGAATTGGTCAAGCCAATTCAGTTTCAATATATTACTTATTTGGTGAGGACACTCTTGACCAAATAATGCTTGACATGATTCTCTCAAAATCTGAAATCATTGCAAGCACACTGGATGGAGTCAAAAACAGTGAGTTTTGAATCGGCACCAACAAGAACAAAAGGAATTTCAGTATGATGAAGCACTTAGCTAAATTCTGTAACCTCGAAGAAGACTTTTCCAATTCTCCTGAATCTTCAAGATTTGACTCAATCCAATGAGAGTCGAAAGTCAATGACGATGAGTTCCAAGAAATCTTGGAATCATCGAAAAATAAAACCAGGAAGAAAACTGATATCTATGAAGAGTTTTCAATAGCATTTGAAACCCCTGACCCATCTACCCAGAAGAAAAGAGTGAGAAAGCAGATGGAAAAAGAGGAGCCAAATGGATTAACTGAGCGGGACTACCTAAATTTCATGGTTTCCAACCAAGCCAAAGTTTTGCAGGAAGCATCACAGAATATTTCTAGTAGTAGGAAATTTAACAAGATTGCCAAAGAGATTAAGAAGAAGCAGAAGAGCAAAAAGAAAAGCGAGTTCATTCAGGATGATGACTCAGAAGCAGACGAAATGTTTGATCTCTATCTAGACCAGATCCGAGAAGCTAATAGAGCAAAAATTGAAGGCGTTCCCTCAGTCCCAAAGAAAAGAAAGAAACACACATCTGAGATTGAAAGGGTAGGGTTTTTAAATGATGCTAAGGACAGAGAGAATCAATTAAATATGACCAGTTTTGAGAAGAAAAAGAGAGGAAGAAAATCTAGAAAGAAGAAAGAATCTCTCCCAGAAGAGGAAGAATTTGTAGACGTCTAATGGTTCAAGACTTCCCTGCTTTTAGGGGTTTTGGGGTTTTGGGGTTTTGGGGTTTTGGGG